TCAAATAAAAGCAAGATTCTTCCCCCTTACGTTATTAGCAGTAAAAGTAATTAGGTTTTGATCATTGCAAGGAAAGGGAAGTATGTAAGTCAAATAAAAGCAAGATTCTTCCCCCTTAGGTTACTAGCAGTAACAGTAATTAGGTTTTGATCATTTCCAGGAAAGGGAACTATTTTAAAAACCCAGGGATTTTTTTCAAAGTGAATTGAATTTTAGAAAGACCACACTGCAATAAACACTTGGGAATCCCATTAGCTACGGAACTGTGAACTAGTATTATACATCCCAATGAAAGTGTAAATAAATAATGTGTTCCTTATGATGGATATGGTTTAAAAATGATTTATAAGACACTAAGTAACTAAAAGGAAGATTACTTCAACTAGGTTAAATCTTAGTAACACTGATTTTAAGGTAGTTTGGTGTAAAAGAGAACAAGGTGAGGAAAACCCGGGGGTGCACCTTCTGATTTTCTGGTAAATGTATGGCCTTGGACAGTGGCTCTCGGTGAAAACACCTTACAATATCTCTCATTTCTGATCGAGCCATTCTAATTTTTTTCGCCTTTCTTTCAAGGATCAGACCTGGATTGCTGGTTGGATTCTTGCACAGTTTGTCTTCTTCCTACAGTAGAAGACTCAGGGGGAGAAAAATGTCCTGACTTTGGAGAATTTTATAGCACAGCCTGACAAGGGAGACTTAGCTTGGAGAGAGGAGAGTCCTCTGGAGGCTTCGTTGGAGACAGACTCAAAGATGGCTGAGCCTCAGGGGGAGAAAAATGTCCTGACTTTGGAGAGTTTTATAGCACAGCCTGACAAGGGAGTCTTAGCTTGGAGAGAGGAGAGTCCTTTGGAAGCTGCTTTGGAGACAGACTCAAAGATGGCACAGCCAGAGGCAGCTGGCCCTGAAACAGAAAGACACCCTGATGCCCTGATGACCAAGCACAGCGAAGGCTCGTGGGAGAGATCCGTGCGGAAGGTGCCGGACGAAGACACTGCCAGCTCAGATTTACAGCGTCAACTGTTTAGGTGCTTTTCCTACAAGGAAGCTGAAGGTCCCCGAGAAGTTTGTACTCACCTCCACCATCTTTGCCATCAGTGGCTGAAGCCAGAGAACCACACCAAGGCTCAGATCCTGGACCAGCTGATCTTGGAGCAGTTCCTGATCATCCTTCCTCTGGAGATGTCCAGCTGGGTGAGGGAATGTGGAGCGGAGACCAGTTCCCAGGCGGTGGCCCTGGCCGAAGGCTTCCTCCTGAGCCAGGCAGAGAAGAAATGGCAGGTGAGACTATTTCACCATTACTCTAATTTAGAGGATGTCTCTTATTTAGAGTTTGGCAACACGTGACCCCTGTCGTACTTTCCACATTTCCCCTACAACTGCTGTCCCCACAGTTGTTGCCAAATTTGCAGTCATTCTCCAAAACCTTAATGAGAAAAGCCTTTGAAAGCCAGGTGCATGACGAGCGATATCTTTGCTCTAAAGCCAAACAATAGCTCCAGAAGCCTCTGGGAAGCACCATACTACTTTAAAATCAAGTGTGTGATTTCTGATGGGCCCTTTCGACCCATTTGTTCACTTATTATTATTAAATTTTGCCAAATTAAAAATTTGTTAAAGGAAATTGCCTAAGTTGCCATAGGAAATTGCCTTTCTTTAACCAAGTCTGGGGGGTGTGCCTCATTTTGCAATTGGATGTGCACCCAAATATAGCACCAGAATTTTGTAGTTTAGAAGAGTTAGTTTGTACAAGCGTATGAGGCAAAATCCAAAGAAAAATGAGACAAGACAAAAATATGCAGCACCTTAAAAGGCTATTGCTGTATACTTTAATGTGAGCTTCAGACATATGGAATCAAATGAAATGTAGAATTCAGAAGTAAAACATTCAAATCAGTCATTGGATTTAAAGAGGCTTGGGTGTGTGGTTACAGCTCATGTGCAATAATGTATGGCCTCTGTTTGCTGTTCAGTTCTTTTGTAAACATTTGTACATGAGACAGAAAGCAGATGACCAGGTAAGAGCAAAAAAAGAGCGGGGAATGGGGTTGGTGGTATTATGAAGACCAACTGTGAGCCGTAACAGGAATAAAGGGTAGCAGTAAGAGCAAAAAAAGAGCGGGGAATGGGGACGGTGGTATTGTAGACCAACTGTGAGCCGTAACAGGAATAAAGGGTAGCAGACAAAAACCCAAGAGAAAAAGGGAGAAGAACACACACACATCATATTTTGATAGATAGATAGATAGATACAGATACACACACACCATATTTTTCCATGTATAAGACCCTGTGTATAAGATCCCCCTCCCACTTTTCTAACCCCAAAGTAAGAAATCTAAGTGGGGCTTAGCAAGTGTAGGGGGAAAGGGATGAAAGCACTGCAGGATCGCTTTGATCCTTGCTTTCCCTTCCACTTGTTTTTGTTCTGTCCTCAGCTTACTTCCGTGTATAAGACGACCCTCAATTTTTATTCTAAAGATTTTAGACAAAAGTATAGTCTTATAGATGGAAAATGCGGTCTATAATGTGTGTCTGTGTGAGAGAGACACTGTGTGTGCGTGTGTTAGCATCTTGTGAATGAATGACATTTTCCTGTGTAATTTCGCTTCTGCAAGAGTACACAGGCAATAGGTTTCCAGCTGGACTATATCAAAAGTGTGAAGTAGCATCCAGCAGTGCAGCTAATGTACTCTCTTCGATTCCTGTCTTTAAAAGTGAACATGGCTCTCCTTTCTGCAACTAGTCATGCTCAGTTGTTGAAACTCGTGGTGTGAAAGAGAAGATTGCTGCACGGCTGCCCTTCTATATGCTGCTTTTGTTACTGGCTTTTGATCTGAGTGGTGAGATAGATGCACTCTTGATCTTGTCCTATCTTGTGAGCATTTCTAACCAAAAACTGAACATCCTGGGGCAATTCCACCACATACATTGGGGTAAGAAAATGCAATTAGTGAGAGATTTCTTAGCAGACTGAGAGATATGTAGATGAACATGATAATATTTTTGTCAGTAAGAATTGAAGCAGGAAACCTTTAATAACTAGTTGTTTCTCCAGCGTTTCTCTTCCTTTTGATTGTTGACGGAAAAGAATCAAGCCTTCTATCATTTTAATTATTCACTATTAATAAAGGAGTGTTTTTCTTGAGATCCTGAGAGAATAGGTGAGCCATAGCCATTAAATCCACAACCCATTCACCAACGTTTCTTCCTTTATCCTTCCTTTTCTGATCCTTATTTCTTTGAACCCTCCCTGATCTTTCAGGGGAGAAATCTTTCTGCAGACATTCAGTTTGACTTCCCAGGGGCAGAGATGGATCCATTGGGAACTGGAGAGAGTCCAGTGCAAGGAGAGATCAAGCAGGATGAGGAAGGAGGTGCTACGTTGCAGGGTAAGGATTCACTCTGGGGAAGTAAGTCTGCTTCAATGTATTCACGAAGGCTTTCACAGCCGGGATCTAATGGTTGTTGTGGGTTTTCCGGGCTCTTTGGCCATGTTCTGAAGGTTGTTCTTCCTAACGTTTTGCCAGTCTCTGTGGCCGGCATGTTCAGAGGACAGCACTCTGTGCTCTGAAGGTGCTGTCCTCTGAAGATGCCGGCCACAGAGACTGGCGAAACGTTAGGAAGAACAACCTTCAGAACATGGTCAAAGAGCCCGAAAAACTCACAACCATCTGCTTCAATGTCTTCTCCCTCTCCCTGAAGTCTGGAACAGGTCCTTGGGCTGCTTTTATATCTCCAGGAGTCTCTTGAGCAGCAATATCATAGAGTTGGAAGGGGCCTGTAAAGCTATCAAGTCCAACTCCCTTTTCAAAGCAGGAATCAAAATCAATGCAGATCTGAAAGATGCTTGTTCAGATAGAAAGACCTAGAATCAAAATCAAAGCAGATCTGAAAGATGCTTGTTCGGATAGAAAGACCTCATCAGCAAATGGAACAATGTGAAGTACAACTTCAGGGCAGAACAGATTGTGACACCCATGTTAGACTTAACTTTAATTGCTTATTGTTTGTTCTATTCTTTTATTACTTTTAATTATATATTTGACTTATATGTATATCCCCGCATTTCCTCCAACATGCTGAAGGCCATGTGGCTTTCTTTCTAGTCACAAGAACCCTGTGAAGTCAGTCAGAGTGAGAAAAAGAATAGGATAAAAGTTGACCAGTGAGTTTCATGGCTCAGTGGGGATTGGGATCCATATCTCCCATGGTCCATTTCAAGTCTCAAACCACACATCTTACTGTCTTTCAGTGCGATCCTAAATCTTTTCCTGGGATATAAGTCTTATTAAATTCCTAGGAATTATCACGTTCCTAGAAATTTCTTGGGATATAAGTGTTGCCACTTTTGAGTAGGCATTAGTTTGTGTAGTTTTAAGATTTAAATCTACGAGAGGAGCCTATGGATCTGACTTCTTGCGCCCTTTCTCCCACAGAGGTTGTAATGAGGCTGACAAGTCCTGAGCCATCTCTTTTTCCTTGCCATGAAACGGAAGCAGATCAGGTAAGAAGAAGGGTTCCTGGGAAGAAACACAACCTACAAACAGTATTCAGACCCACCACAAAAATACAACAAATGTTACAGTCAGCAAAGGACAAAAGGGACCCCCTCACCACTGCAGGAGTAGACACTGCAGATTAAAACAATCAGTAACCTTGTTATGCAGTGAGTATATCAGATTAAAACAATCAGTAACCTTGTTATGAGTATAGCAGTGCCACTCATGAAAGTTGGATTTTTCCAGTAGAAGAGACCCAAACATCTCACCTTCATTAGCCTTTTAGAGTTTGTTATTTCGTCATCCTACTCTGACCTGGGAGAAGAATATACAGTACTTTCTCTTTCATACAGGCTCCTGTGATGTTTGAGGAGGTGGCTGTTGCTTTCACCCAGGAGGAGTGGGCACTGCTGGATCACGACCAGAGGGTCCTGCACCAGGAGGTCATGGAGGAAAACCATGAGATCGTGGCCTCCCTCGGTAAGGCTCCCTCTTTCCTTGATAGACTGCAGTATCAATGCAGCAATGATAGTAGTAGCATTGCTTATAAACTTTTAAAGTTTCAGTGTTCATCTAACTCATCCTGCCCATTGGAGTGGTTCCTAAGGCAGAGCAGGGGAACGTATTGTCTAGCCGTTGCTGACCTTCAAATTCCACCAGGTTTAATCAGCCTAGACAGAGTTGGCTACACTGATTGGTAGCAGCCCTCCAGTGTTTGAGAGCAGGATTGTTCGGTAGCCCTATCTGGAAATTCTGACCTTAGATGGCAGTTTCCCATTGAAGGACTTACCAAGCCCAAGCCCACTTTGCTTCCAAAAACAAGCAGATCCACCCTGTTCAGGGTGGAATGGCTGTAGGTGGCGATACCAGAAATATAAAGAAAGGGAATGTAATTTAAAAAGGCATCTGCCTTTGAGATGGTTCCTAAAGTCACAGAGGGGTAGAAAATACCTTTAGATCAATCTTAATGTGAAAATTCTCCAGGATTTTGAACTGAGGCTCTTAAACTTGGAATCTAATATTGTCTCTTCTTCTTCTTCTTTCTAGCTGACAACTGGAGGGCAACAACTATATGGCCACAGAGAGGGAGGAGTTTCAGGCAGAAATTAGCACTCATCAGACACCATCCATCCCACGAAAAAGAGAAGAGTAATTTCCAAGGGAAGGCCTACAAACAGATCCAGAGTGGGAAATGTTTTGCCCAGAATATGGCTTCTGCCTATCAGAAGACAGGTCATGTTGCAGAGGACAATGAGGGATGGGGAGTCTCTGGGAAAGGTTTCAGTGACATGTCCCATCGTACAAGCTGTGTGAGAAAATATATTACAAGCTATCCCAGAGAATATTCAAGAGAGAAACTGTCCAAGTGCCAGGAATGTGGGAAATGTTATACTTGTAATTCTTACCTTGTGAAGCACCATAGTGTACACAACAGAGAGAAATACCAATGTCTGGAGTGTGGGAAATGTTTTGCTCACCATTCAAATCTACTGATACACCAGAGAGTCCACACGCGAGAAAAACCTTACAAATGTCAGGACTGTGGGAAAGGTTTTGCTCAGAATTCAGATCTTATAAAGCATGGGACAGTACACACAGGAGAGAAACCCTATAAGTGCCAGGAATGTGGGAAATGTTTTTCTCGGAATTCAAACTTTCTGACCCACCAGAGAATTCACATTGGAGACAAACCATACAAATGCCAGGAGTGTGGGAAGTGTTTTGCACACAATACAAATCTTGTGAAGCATCAGATTTTACATACAAGAGAGAAAACATACAGTTGCCAGGAATGTGGGAAATGTTTTTCTCAAAATTCACACCTCCTGATTCACAAAACAATCCACACAGGAGAGAAACCATGGAAATGCCAGGAGTGTGGGAAATGCTTTGTTCGTAAGTCAAGCCTTTTGAGTCATCAGAGGGTCCACACAAGAGAGAAACCATATATGTGCAAGGCATGTGGGAAACGTTATGCTTATCATTCACAGTATGCAAACCACCAAAGAATCCATGAGGGCGGAGAACTACACAAGTGTCTTCAGTGTGGCAAGTGCTTTGCTCAGAATTCAAACCTCCTGATCCACCAAAGAATCCATACAGGAGATAAACCATACAAGTGCCAAGAATGTGGGAAGTGTTTTGCTCGGAATGCAGATCTTGTGAAGCATCGGATTGTACACACAAGAGATAAATCATACCAGTGCAACGAATGTGGGAAGTGTTTTTCTCAAAATTCACACCTTTTGAATCACCAGCGAATCCACACAGGAGAGAAGCCGTATAAGTGTCAGGAATGTGGCAAATGCTTTGCTCGGAATTCAAACTTAGTGACCCACGAGAGAATCCATACAGGGGAGAAACCATACAAGTGCCAGGAATGTGGGAAGTGTTTTGCTCGGATCTCAAATCTTGTGAAGCATCAGACCGTACACAAAAAAGACAAACCATACAAGTGCCAGGAGTGTGACAAATGCTTTTCTCTGAATTCAAACCTTCTGACTCACCAGAGAATCCACACAGGAGAGAAACCCTACAAGTGTGAGGAATGTGGGAAATTTTTTTCCAGGAATTCAAACCTTCTGACTCACCAGAGGATCCACACAGGAGAGAAACCCTACAAGTGCCAGGAATGTGGGAAGTGTTTTGCTTGGAATTCAAACCTTGTGAAGCATCGGAGAGTTCATTCTGTTTGCCTCATATCCTCCAGGAATTGCCTCTTAACACCTATTCAGCCAAAAGAAGCAGTGTGGGAAATGTTTTGCTCGTAAGAGCCATCAAAAGATCAACAAAAGAGAGAAAGCATACAAGGGTCAGGAGTCTGGGAAATGTTTTTGCTCGGAATTGAAACCTGGTGAAGGATCGGCAAGTTTACAGTGTTGGCCTGGGATCCACTGAGAATTGCCTCTGTGCACATCTTTAGCCCAGACAACCAGAAGAGAGATCTGGGAGTAGTTTCCAGAGAAGGCTTGTCAATCTTTTTTTGACCCCCTCCCTCAACATCTTCCTGTATCTATTGCTAAACTGATGTTCTTAGACTCCACCTATCAGTCTAAATCACAACCCTAATTGTGCAACAAGATTCCAGTCAGTATTTTCTGTGTTTCTTATTTTTTGAATACTTGCAACATACACTGGAGAAAAACCAGGAGTGTGTGGGAAATGTTTTGCACAGAATTCCCATTTTTTTATATTTCATACCGGGCACACAGAAAACAACACCTACAAATGCTAGGAGTGTGGAAAAGATTTTGTTTGTAGGATATAGCTTTTGATTCATCGGAGAGACCAGAAAGGGAAGAAAGAGTTGTTAAAGGAGTCGGCTTTACTTAAAGAAACTCTTGAAGGCCATCCCAAAGATTATAGCAGGGCTGCCATGTGTTTCTGACATCTTACTGTTTCAAGTGAGAAAAACCCTCCAATTATAATTTTCTAATAAAATCTTCTAGACAAGGGTGCACAATATTCAGCTGAGGATTAGCATCCAGAGACATTTTTGGAGCCCTCCGAAATCCCTTTACTCCCTGTTCCCTGCTTATTTAAAAAATACTATTAAAAAATAGGTTGTATGGGGAACAATTTTCCATGATTTGAGGAACCACAGAACTCGTTGGAACCCCCACATACCCCCCCAAAAATTTCCACTGAAAAAAAGTTGCCACTAGAGCTTTTTCCAGATTTTAAAAAAACATCAGTGCTATGCCATTCAGTTTTTTTAAATTCTAAATTCCAACATTTTCCAAGAATTCCTCAGACATAATTCTGGGAGTTCCAGCCCATAAACAGGCACCTACATTTCACTCGCCTAGAGAAAGGCTGAATCATTCTTCTAGGCCTTATTTCCTGCTGCAATCCGTCATGAGGTAGTAGCCTCATTCCCCTTTATACTCTAGAGAGGGCATTTCCTGAGAAACCATCACCTCAAGGAAGCACCCTGGCAGGAAATAAAGCCTAGAGCAGCCATTCTCAGTCACAGACTTCTAAGGAGCTCTTCTCAGATTCCTGTCAAACTAGGAAAACTTTTGGCTGTGTGCCAACAAAGATAACACAAAACAGATGAATCTGTGGACCCCTTAAAATGTGCCAAGTCCCACACACACACACACACACACACCCCTCACAAGGAGAATGGCTGGCTGTGGACCCCTTAAAATGTGCCAAGTCCCCCCCCACACACACACCCCTCACATGGAGAATGGCTGACCTAGAAGAAGGCTTCAGCTGAAATAAGTATGGAATACAATTTAAATTGCAACTCTAACCCTGAAGGATTTTATTTTTTAAAAAATTAGAAAGTTTTAAAAAAACGGTATTTAAAAATTTAAAATCCAATTTAAATTTCTTTTTTTTTTTTAATAGTTCAGTTTATTCACTCTGCATCATAGATGCCACAGGGGGAGAAATTGGTGAATCACTCCAGATAATGAGTCCACACCTTGTGATTCTTGAACTTGCACACAGGAGAGAATGCAACTGCCAAGATTGTGGGGAATCATCCCAATTTACCCCTTCTGACCTCTAGAAAATCTGTACAGATACAAGTGTGTCCTAGTTTTCTCTCAGATAGTGGTGTCAAAATTTCCTTTGTCTTGTCCCTTAACTCTTTCAATAATGGTCTCCTCGAAATAACCACAGGAAGAAATGCTCTTTCTTTCTAATCATCATTAGTTATTCCATCTCTTACTCTTTTACTGCCATTCTACTCTACATTTGTGCATTTGCTTCCTTATATAACATCCTGTACACAGTCAGCCGCCCCCCCCCAGGTATTGAGTCCCACGCCTTTCAGCTTGACTTCATTTAATATGATTTTATTAAAATATCAGCGCCGAGTCTGCCACCCTTAGCAGAATTAGACAACAATTCTCCTAAGCAGCAAGGATCGATAACGGACTTTTTGGCACTGGGGAAACAGTTCATCTCATCCCCGGATCAGTGATTAACAGCACAATGCCCCAAGACGGTGATTTTGCATCCACAGGTTGCGAAAATAAGGAGAAAAAGTGGAGGAGGGGCAATATTCTGACCCTTCCAGAACTCACAGTTTATGGACCATCTTTTGTGCTTCTTTGGAAACAAACCCTTTTGAGGGTGTGAATAGTGGAAGTAGATCTGTTATGAAGTCGCCCCTGGGAAGTTGAGTCTCCTCAGGTTCATTCATTTCAGCCATCCACACAGGAGTCAGCAGGAGAGGGAAAGAAATCCGCCTTGTTTGCACCTTGTTAACTATGTGAATCCTCTCCTCCCTTCAACTTGAGCCTGGGTCTGCTTGCTTCCCTCCTTCCTCTTTTCTTTCTTTTTTTCATTAAAGGCTGGTGTCCTGGAGCTAGACCATCTGGTCACTGGTTCTTAACCTTGGGTTACTTAGGAGCTTTGGACTGCAACTCCCAGAAGCCTTCACCACCAGCTGTCCTGACTGGGGTTTCTGGGACTTGCAGTTCAAAAGCATCCGAGTAACAAAGGTTAAGAACCACTGATCTACAGTAGGTGATCAAAGGCGTGGTGGTGGTCGTGGTGGGGAGAGACAAAGATTTGGCATTGAAATAGGAGGACGTTTTCACTTCAGCCTTGTTTTCTGGCTTCTTACTGTAGTTCTGCTGTATTCTGACTGTCCGGATTTGCAGGAGGCACACGGAGCAGGACTACTGTACTTTAAAACATCCTCTCCTCTTTCTCTCTCTCCTTTGTTTGGCCAGCTGCCCCAGTGCTAGATTAGCAAGTCTTTAAAAGAAAAAAAAAGGGAGGGAACAGAATGGGAAGGGGAAGATTAAAGAGACCTGAGCAGAAGAATTAGACGCAGTGGTGTCCAACCTTGACCCTCCAGATGTCATTGTTTGGCCAGCTGCCCCAGTGCTAGATTCGCAAGTCTTTAAAAAGAAAAAAAAAGGGGGGGGGAACAGAATGGAAAGGGACATCTGGAGGGCCAAGGTTGGACACGACTGAACTAGAGGATTCAAATGGCAGCCAGTTTTCCCTCCTACCTTGGCTTCTCCCACTGTTGCTGGATCTGGCTTTAAAAACAATGCTTACAAGCTCCTCTGCATTGGATCAAGGGATCATACGGATGGTGGAGGCATTTGATTCCAAGAAAGTTGAAGCCTCAGTAGAGAAAGAAAAAAATGTTATTGTTTTTCGGGGGAACCGGGTCTTCTCAGTGATGGCCACCATGTTATGGGACACCCTTCCTTTAGGAAGTACAGTACCTCAGCTCCAAACCCTCCTTGGCTTCAGGAAGAAAGTAAAGACCTGGCTCTTTCGTCAGGCTTTCCCTAATCCTGTCCCTGTTCAATTTATTTTATTGTTTGTTTTGTCTTCCCAAGAAGGAAAAGATGTGGAAGGCTTTTTCTGGCAGTTCATGGATTAATGCGTCCTTCCTGCTCTTGAACAAACACACCGTCCATATTCTGCTGCTCATCTGAATCCTCAGGCAACAGATTGGATGGGTCTGCGTTTGTGCTGCCAGAAGCCTGACTTGGCTTCAGTCATAAGGAGGAAACTGGCACCAAATTTTAAGACAGACAATAAACAAGATACGAAGCACCAACCCAGGTGAAATTACTGCAGGCGAGATGTAACCATACACACAAGATTGTTAAAGCTTATGAATGTTTCACTTGTGAAGTCTGTACAGTATTTCATTTTGTTCCATATGTCTGAAGAAGTGAACTTTTTTTAATAAATGAAAACTTACAAGAAAAAGATATTGTATATATATATGTGTGTAGTCTCTCTTTCACCACCACCAACATTCCATTTATCTTTTAAATGAGCCCCCACCCCTTCAGAAAATACAGATATTCTTGTCCTGGTTTCTTTCTCTTCTACTTTATTCAATACAGCATATATAAAATCATCCCATATCTCAATAAACCTTTTAATCTTTACCACGCCTTTTAAACTTAATTTCAGGTGTAAAATTATCATGAATTGCTATACTGTATTCCAGAGTTCACTGCAAACTCCTGCGGTGGAAAGAGCTAATTCTTCATCCAATTTTGTCGCTGTTGGTCACCGAGCAGCTGCTGTCATATTTATAATCATTTCTCTTTTTTTAATAACTCTATTTACGTCATAATTATCTCTTTACCCTAATAATGCTGTTCTTGAGGATGTTCACGTGCACTCTTTCTCTAATGTCAAAGAAATTAGGGAAGAAGTGGAGTTGATCCACAAAATCTCCTATTAAACTATAATAATTAGTCTTTCAGGTGCCACAGGGGTTTTATATCTTTTTGTTGTTCCTTTTTTCCCCCTGTGGATTTTGCCATACAAGTTTGCATAGACTAACACTACATCCCGAGTCTCTGTCCTTAGAAAGGGATGCTGACGAAGCCGGATCTTGGAAACGAACAAGGAGACCAGTCTTGAGACCCCCCCCCCACGTGTGACTCCGACGGCTTCCTCCCGAAGGGTTAAATACATTGAGTTGGGATGCCTAGAGAGGAAGGGGGGGGGAAAACACGGGGCGGAAGTGGCTCCTTCCCCCCCCCATCCAAATAAAGCTTCTTCCGGTCTAAACATTTTGCTCATTTGAATCAGCAAAAGGAATAGTTATTGCGTCTCTTTTCCGGGGGAGCCGGAAATTCACCCTGTGGTGCCTGGCTGGGAGGATGATGGTGAGTCCTTTCTGAAGCTGGGAGGGAGGATGTTGGCGACTGGGGGGAGCAAGGGGAGAGAGAGAGAGAGGGACACCCCAAACTCCAAGCTCAGCAAAGGAGAGAAGGAAGGAAGGGAATTCCTCTATTATGCCCGGCATTTTATTTATTTAATTTATTTATTTAACTTATATGCCGCCCACTCTACCCAAAGGTCTCTGGGCGGCTAACAACAATTAAAATTCAATTAAAAGACAATAAACGATAACATGATTAAAATTGGGGGTGTCCTCCCGAGGCAGCCACTGGTATGGTTTGAAATTATTAATACATATTAATAAAGTACTGTACGTTTCGGATTCCCTCCCTCACAGTGTCATGTCCTGAAATGCATTGAGCTGTTAGCTGGTCTTCCTCTTAGTTTGGGAAGGAGGGAGGCTTCCTAGTTTAGGGGATGCAGGAGAAATGGCGAGGGGGGGGGGAGATACACAGGTCTGGCCCTAAGAATGAGTAGGGGCAACTTTGGAGAAATGGTGGGGCTGGCTGATCTCCTGGGTGTGCTGTTTGAGACAAATATCTCTCTGGCTAAAGATATAGCCGGTCCAGCAGGAGAAAGGGGAGTATTACTGTTAGATTACTATTCAAAATAATTTGATTTTGATTATTTCAAGGAAGTGGGAATATAAGAGGCTTTTTAAATTTTTGCATGGGGAAGTATGAAGAAGAAAAACCTCTGGGGATTTTTTTAAAAAATGAATTGACAAAAAAAAAGGCAAAACTGCAATAAAAATGGTGGGATCCCACAAGAGTATTTGTTTGACTCCTCTTTACTCTTTCAGGGGAGAAATCTTTCTGCAGACTGAATCAGGCTGCAGACATTCAGCCTGATTTCCAAGTTGGGAAGAGACAGAGAGAGATTAATTGGGGTCTGGAGAATGTCTGCTGCAGAAGGAGATCTAACAGGAGGAGAACAGGGATACATTATTAGCACTATCAGTAATTTTTTGTTGTTGTTTAGTCATGTCCGACTCTTCGTGACCCCATGGACCAGAGCACACCAGGCCCTCCTGTCTTCCACTGCCTCCCGGAGTTGGGCGAAATTCATGTTGGTCACTTCGATCACACTATCGAACCATCTTGCCCTCTGTCATCCCTTTCTCTGGCCTTGACATTTTCCCAACATCAGAGTCTTTTCCTGGCAGTCTTCTCTTCTCATGAGATGGTCAAAGTATTGGAGCCTCAGCTTCAGGATCTGTCCATCCAGTGAACACTCAGGGTTGATTTCCTTCAAAATTGATAAGTTTGTTCTCCTTGCAGTCCAGGGGACTCTCAAGAGTCTCCTCCAGCACTACAATTCAAAAGCATCAATTCTTTGGCGCTTATCCTTCTTGATGGTCCAGCTCTCACTTCCTTACATCCGCTACTGGAAAAACCATAGCTTTGACTATGCAGACTTTTGTCGGCAAGGGGATGTCTCTGCTTTTTCAGATGCTATCTAGGTTTGTCATCACTTTCCTCCCAAGAAGCAGGCGTCTTTTAATTTTGTGGCTACTGTCCCCATCTGCAGTGATGATGGAGCCCAAGAAGGTAAAATCTGTCACTGCCTCCATATTTTCCCCCTCTATTTGCCAGGAGGTGATGGGACCAGTGGCCATGGTCTTAGTTTTTTTGATGTTGAGCTTCAGACCATTTCGGCGCTCTCTTCACCCTCATTAAGAAGTTATTTAATTTATCCTCACCTTCTGCCATCAGAGTGGTATCATCTGCATATCTGAGGTTGTTGATATTTATTCCAGCAATCTTAATTCCGGTTTGGGATTCTGTGAATCCGGGTTGGTTCTGCCAGGGGCGGTTCCGTTGACAGTGCGGGAAAAAGGACAGGAGGCTGTTCTTCTTTTCTAACAGAATCTGTTTTATTGGTAAACTTAACTCGGCTGGCTCAAAAGGATCCATTAAACTTAACTCTGGTAACAACTTATAACTTCAAACTCGTGTAGTCATTTCTTTGTCTTTACTTCTTACTGGGGGGCTGGCCCAAATCGCTCCCGGTCGGTCATAGGGCGGATCGGTGTGGTCCGTACCGCGCAAACGGTCCCATAGCATGGATGTCTCGCCGAATCCCCCTCCCGCTGACTCTGGAGTAAAGAGGGACTGGGACGGATCATCCGCCTCCCCCCACGCTGATTGCATGGGTACGCAACCACAGTCCATTCCAGAGGATCTACCTCTTGTCCGTGCGCGAAGAAATCTGGAGGTCCCAGCAATAATCCTCTATCCACTTATAAGTTCGGGAATTCTTTAAGTAGTTTTAAGAAACTCTCTTGGCCCATACTCCATTCTGTCTGTACAGACCTATCCCTTTTGTCAGCCGGTTCACATTTCACCACTCTGAAACTTCCCGCCTTTTCACCCTCATTTATATCTTCTCATACGATCAGATCTAGCTCCTCCTCTCTCTCTCGTCAGCCAAACATACTTCTCTAGGCTGTTGTACCTCCCTGTCATCCTGTTCCACCTCTACTAATATCCCTTCTACACATTCTGTTCCTCCTTCTGCTCCTTTGACTTCAGAGGACGGCTCACTCTCTTTCTCTCCTTCACAGATTCATTCAGTAACAGGAAGATCCATCGTGACCAGTTGAAGGCTCAGCCTGACTGTTAACTGCCTCTCAGTTTGCAGAGATACAGACCAGATTGTGACCTCATTCTGACAT